AAAAACAAAACAAAAACAAAACAAAAACAAAACAAAACAAAACAAAACAAAAAAACAAAATAAAAACGAAAAAACTCCTTTGTCCTATTATGCGCGGATTAATTTTCTATAACGTTCGCTTAAATTAATAAGAAGCCCTGAACGAAGGCTTTGTAAGCTCGTCGAGCATTATACATCGTGTAATTACAATAACATATCTACATAGTAAACACGGGCGAAAAAACTTTTTCTTTTACCATACAAATTTAATATATGAATGATTCTTTGTGCGAGCGGTCGAATCGCCTTTCCTATCTCATTGTAACTCCGTAGAGTCAAACGTGTTTAATAATATTCGAAAATGTTCATTAAGCTGCAACTTCCCGCACCGACATTCTTAACCTTTTAAAGACCTTTATTAAAAAGAAAAAAGTCCTCTTTCACCTCGAAGAATGCATCATTATTATTTTATCGGCCGAACCTCTCACCACCTAACAAGATGTGAACGTATCGCTAAAAAGATGCGAGCGACACATTGAAGGTTGTTGGTGTCTCGAACCGAATATTCGCCATTCGACGACAAATGAAAAGAATAAAAGAAAATTGAATGTAATTATTGCGATAAACGGTCGTCGTCGTCGTCGTCGTCGTCGTCGTCGTCGTCGACTTTTCTTTGGCAGATTAATAATAGCGCACTCTATGCACTCATAAATATTAAGTTTTCTTATATTGTAATTGAGCGGACGATTAAACGAAAAAGCCAATATCAAACTTCTGTGCATTTTTTTTTCTCTTTCTTAGGCTACGTATAGGCGGACTATCGGAAGTAAAATGTCGAACGAAAAGTAAATTTTCCATATCCAATACATTTTATTACAATGTTATCTCGCTTTACGGAAGTTTTTCCATTTGCAATCGTAAACTTTTAAACGCGTTTCATCTTACGGAAATTAATGCGCACTGTGCTTGGTGCATTCAAACGGGAAAAAACATTGTGCTCCTTCCATCGAAATGTTTAAATTAATTTGTCGATAAGGCGCGAGGGGACGCCGACTGTAAACATTTGCTTTTCAATAATAATAATTCACGGGGATCCTAATACGTGTTGGTAATACGGCATTGGCTTACTCGCAAACGCACATTGACATCCACTTCAAGAATAAAGAAGAAAGTCTCTCTCTCTCTCTCTCTCTCTCTCGTTTCCTTAGGACCGAGGCGGGGCAGACGCGCGCCTTAACTCGCAATCGCAAGAAGGAAGCTGAGAGCGCCAAGGCGTTGCCGAAATAAAATCGATTGCTGCCGCGAAAAGAATTCGGGGCTGAAAATTTGCCATTCGTGCCACTTCGCGTCCGTGCGACGAGGATGGGAGCGAGAAGGTGAACGGGAGGTGGATGGGAGGCGAATGGGAGCTGAGTGGGAGGTGAGGTGAGACGAGCGAGCGAATTGGGGTTGGAGAGGAGGCTCGTGATAGCTCGTAGTCGTCCCGTGTGGCCATCTCGACACTTCCATTACCCGACACTTTTGTTTTCGTTAACGAGCAGCGCGTCGAGGGTCGGGGCCGCGGTTCATGCACGTGGGCCCCGAAAGCCCAGCCAAAGTGTGACAATGGTGTAACGGTACCGAGTTCACGGAGACATTGGCCACGTAATTGAGAATGTGCGGTGCTCGCGCTTCTTTTCTTTTATCTCGCAAGAGAAAAAAAGAGCAACAGCAGAGAGAGAGAGAGAGAGAGAGAGAGAGAAGGTGTGCCTGCGCGTGAGCGTGTACGTGTACGTGTCTGCACGAATGCGAGAGAAAGAGTGAGATGGCGCTTGAGGGTGAGTAGGAGGGTGAGATGGAGAGGAGCGAGAAGGAAGGAGACGTATAAACATAAACAGTGCATACGCTCGCGGGCGCGAAAACTCCCTATCCCCTCTCTCTCTCTCTCTCTCTCTCGGCCTCTTCTGCTCGTTCTCGTTCTGTCCTTGTCTCGCGTGTGCGACTAATCGAAGTAACTCGTTAAAATGACAATAAAACGACATGGAAACAGGAAAAACGAGTTTGAGGCAGTAAATAAAAGCGAGCATGCGCGCACGCGGGAGTAACGATAAAATTTGGCGCACTCGTAATAAAGCTCGCGTGCTCATACAAGTGAGAGGAGAATGAGAACAAGACAGAGAGAGAGAGAGAGAGAGAGAGAGAGAGAGAGAGAGAGAGAGAGAAGAGAGTGTGGGGAAGAGAGAATGAGTGAGATGGAGAGAGAAAGAATAGTTATTTGCAGTACGACGCTTTTGTCGCGTTATGCTTCTTTTCCTTCATTTATTTGAAACGTTTCTTTGCTTGATTTTTTTTTTCGGGATAGGAAACTGAAGAGGGTGGGAAATTTTTTTTTTTTTTTTTTTTTTTTTTTTTTTTTTTACAAATTCTTGGTATTGGAACGATGAAAATTTTTTGATTATCGAACCATATCAACAGTATATTCGGTAATTTTTTTACGAGTAGTCTTTCTTTTTTCCATTTTTTAATGCAACTTATTATAAGTAAATTTTTCAATCAATAAAATGTATGGCCTTATAATTTTTCCAACATTTTATTTGTGCTTTCACTAGGTTTTTAGTATTTGATGTTAACACACACACCCGCACACACGGTGGCGCACATTATTGAATAAACTCTTGATGTTCTTATTCCAATCAGGAAATAAAAATTCAAAACTTTCAAGAAGCTTATAATTAACAGTATAAAAGTCAAAATAAGTATGATTTGAATTTAATAAACAACCAAAAGATTTTAAATTTTGCATAATGAGTAATAATAATGCTTTAATCGTATCGGATATGAATTGATTGTCTTTATTATGCTTCTATCCACTTGTGTATGATTAAATAAATTAAACAAAATTACGCAACTATTATTTATAAAGATTAAAAATTAATTTATCGAACAGCTTTGTAGTAATTGTTAAATGTTTAAACACTTACAAATTTTGAAACTACTACTACCATATAATATATGTGTTGATTCATAATAATATATTAAACTAAATAAAGAGAATTATTGATAAAATATTTTCGAAGCTCCACGTAACCTTAAATTATTATACAGTTATAAATAATATGAGTGTAATAATAATTGTTATATGCAAAGGCTGCGAAGTTTGCAATTTCGTTGTGTGAATTAGCCGAATTAGTATATCTTAACGTACGTATTAACGGGATAAATATCAATTCGAAATTGAAATTGGTGCAAGAATCGATATACCCATGATAAAGTCGAGGCACAATTGACGTTGCGCGTGCAAGAAATCCTTACGAATGCGCATCAAGTGTATAAAAGCCAAATTACCTTCATCAATGAAAACCATTTCAGCCCTCGAGTATCGAATCAATCAAACGTTAAACACGATATCGCTTTCCAATTCGATTTCCTCGTTACCCTCTTCATGAGCGAGTACGAAACGAGAGAGCAGCATTGATTGGCTAATCGATGGAGCCTCGCACCCACGCGCGACATTAATCGCGCATAATTCGGCCTCCCTCGAATCTCATCAAAATGAAACGGGACGAGTGGCACGTGGATGAAGGACAGAGCGAGGATTGTCAGTGGGACGAGAGGTTTTCGGGCCTGCAATTTTACGTACGCGTTCTTCGTGCACATGCACATGCACACGTCTCTAAGATGCTTCCAAGGTCTCCGTGCGTCAAGTATCGAATGGAAGGGGGCGAGTGTGAGACGAACGAG